TGCAATTCCAAATCATCAGTTTGGTTTCAGGAGTCTGCATAACGCTGCTGAGCAAATGCATCGGGTTGTCAACCATATCCTTAAAGCATTTGAGGCGAAAAAGTATTGTTGCGCAGTATTCCTAGATGTCAAGCAAGCCTTCGATCGAGTCTGGCACTGTGGCTTGCTCTATAAGCTGAAACCCATTCTTCCCCTGACATACTTTGATCTCCTTCGCTCATTTCTAATTGGTAGAACCTTCCAGGTGGGTGTAAAATTAAAAATAATGATAATTATATAATATTTAAAAAAGAAATTACAATGTAATTGTGAATTTTTATTATTAAAGTTTAAAATTTCATCACAATAAATTAATGTATTAGGTACCTAATTCATAAACCATTTTAATCCCTAAACACCTTAAAAGTTAAAAAAAAACCGTTCCATTTTTTAATATATACGTATCTAAAGGAAAATTTCATTTATTTTTGTATATTGTATTTTTCCAACAATTAAGTAATCTTTTACCTATTTTTAACAGATTATAATTATGCTTTAAAATAAAATATATCTAAAACAAATATTTTTTTGTCAACAACTAAGTAATTTCCTTACTAATTTTTTTTTCCCTGTGTACCAGCCTGATCGATATCGGGTGCAGAAAAATGTGGTAAATACAAGCAATCGAGTTGTAATAAATTTCAAGTGTAGCGCACCCGCGCCCCAAAAACCAGTGGAAGTACTGAAAGCCAGAGGAAGGAGCCCGAGGAATTGGAAGAGTGGGAACTTGTTGCACGCATGTTGACACACGCATGTGGCATCAAGGGAAGAATGGGGAATCGCTGGATTGGGGATACCTAAAGAGGCGTTAGAAAGGCCGCAGCCGAAGCCGAAAGCCGTTGATATCTGGCAAACATTTCACCTGTTTGTGGCGCCCGACGAGGAACTAAGGCCCCCTTTTCCCCCTACACCCATTACGCCCCCCTCAACTTGCCTCTTGACCAACTAACTTTGCGGTTTAAAGCACTTAAATATCGACTGCCTGATGTTGCTGCCTTTGCTGGTGCAACGGTTGCATGCAACAAGCGTCAATCACCCGCACAAAACTGAATATAAAAACCGTTGCCTGTTTTGCTATGGAAAATTGTTGATTTGCCGCTTGATTGCGTGCGTGCTGGAGTAAAAAATTAAAGAGTCGGGGGTGACGTGGTTAGGAGTGGATTTCCAGCCCGAGGCACCTGCACCTGACCATCGGGTGATTATAGAATCGCACTTAGAGCAACGGGAAAGGAAATGCAAAAGAAAGTTTTATGCCTTGAGGTTGGATGGACTATTAAGTGCTCTAAAGCGCCACCTATTGTCAGCGGGTGAGCACCTTAAGCGCAGCGCGAAGCAATATAAATAAATATATATCGCCATTGCAGATGTCAGGCATCGAGGGTTAGGCAGGCGAACTTAAGTGTTAGGAAAGAGCTTAAGTCGTGTCCACGACAGTCTGACATCACTAAGGGAGCTGTCTTCAGTAGGGAATAAAAAATACCCCTTAGTTAGTTATTTTCCCCATTCCGCCATTTATTTACATAAATATATTTTATATCTGAAGATCCTAATAAATTAAATAGCTAAACTATTATAAAATGTATATGTACTTAAGAAGTCAATTTTGGAGTCAGTTTTGGAGTAGTCAATTTGGAAATTTTGTTAATAGAAACACTACATTTTCTAGATAAATTTGTTTAATAATTTTCATCGTCTGATTAATCCAGGTTAAGTTTAATATTTTTTCCAATCCAATAAACCTACTTACATGGTATCCAAAAATCCACTTAATCCTGTACTGCCCCAGCGAATATCCCTCAAAAACCCCTCTCAACGCGAAAGCCTGTGCTCTTTTATGGCACACATTTTTATGCCGGAAGTCTGCCCCGTGGCGTTGGGGAAAACAGGAGGAGACATCCGCGGGGCGATCGCGAGGAGGGGCCAACCAGGGGGCTAGAGGGCCCCCCAACTGGGTGTGCAGAGCCTGGGAACGGAAGCTGTTCCCCACCACAAGACCAAAGACTGGCCAAACGGCAAGCCGAGCTCAAGACATGCCAGCGGCAGTCATTAACAGCTTCCCAAGCCCGGTAATTAAGCGTCCTTCGCCAAAACGAAGGTGAGACTGCGGGACGGCGAGAAGCTCACCTGAATCCCCCTGGCAGAAGACCCCACAGCACCCCCGTCCGGCAGTCAGGTGTTAATGGAAAATTTGCATTTTCGCTTAAAGTTCGCTGGGCCGCTTTTGTTAATGCCTTGCGACGCATCGATTCGTCATGAGCTGGTTAATTGAATGTTTAAATGTTAGACAGGCGCAGAGTGAAGGGTGCCCCGAAAGCCGAAAACTCGTTGAGGGGCGAACTCAATTGCTTTGGCAACGGTTGTAAAAGCAGACGGAGACCGGCTAAAGAACCGGAGATCTGAAGGTCAGCATAGAAATGGTTTATAAGTTATTGAATTAGAATTTAGTCATAAAAATGTCTATAAAATATTTGAAAATATCTCTTAAAATGGTAAATAGGCTGTTAAACAAATTGTGACTAATGAAGCTATTGGTAGAGAGACATTCCCACTATCATCTAATTAATAAATATTTTAATAGCAAAAAAGAAACATTAAACGTAAAGTTTTTTAGAATAATTTCCGTGGAAAAATCAGTGCAATGCATGCAAAAAATTAAACAGCAGACCATTATGCATCGTTAGGCATAAACATGGTCAACGCTTTATAGATTTCTTGCTGAGATTTTCCAGGGAAATCTTGACGCACAATTATGAGGAGACTTAAGCGGATGAGGCAGGAATGTCAGCACAGACCATTTTTCCACGCAGTGCCCTCCTGGTTCTTCTGGTCCTCCTGGTCCTGCTCCTTGGGCAATGGATAGTGATTATGGCACCACGATAAGCATATTGGTCCAACGATCCGTCCAGCGATTGGCGGCACCAAAGTGGCAAGAGCAATTTGTAGCCGGGTGAACGTGCAGCGACCAAAACGGCAGCAAAACCAAGCCAGGCCAAGCATTTCATTTTTTGTGGCTACTCTACTACGGCCGCTTAATTAATAGACAGCCTCAGTCGCCGATTGTGCTGACCACTTACCACTTGCATATGATCAGTATGTGTTGATTGCTGAGGAACATACACCGGGAGAAATGAGGGAAACTCCTTTAAAATGAGTTAAAATCTCATATTCCATTATCTATTAATAAAAATATTTTAATTTTTTATTTTGTTAGTCATCTAACAAATACTACAATTATTGCTGTCAAAAAATTTATTATTGCATACATTTGAAAATATAATAGTATATAAATATAATAAAAATATAATACATTTGAAAATATAATAACAGGAAAATCTTTTTTAATTTGTATTTATTTATTTGATCTACACAATCTTAAGGTACTTAAGAACGCTTTGCAGTTTAAATGAAATTTATGTAAATATATTTTTGTTCCTATCATAATGAAGATGATCACTAAATTTATATATTTACAAAATATAATGAAATACAAAATAACAGCAGAGGATATTCGAATTCAGCTTTCAAGTGGTTTCCAAAAATCAACTGGATAAATCATACACCTTTTCAAGGAATATTTAAAGTGGGGTAGAAACTCCAGAGCTACGGTCTTCAGTTTGAAACCATTTCAAAGGTATGCTCCACATTTTCGTTAAACACTCATCAGTCTCCGGCCTGCCATTTTGCCCAGTGCCCTCCCAGTCGCGAATCCGAATCTGTCCGGTGGCCGCGTATCGTGTTCGAATCTCTCGTCGCCGCTGCTTTTATGGGCCGCTGTGTGTTGACAATTTTTGCCATATGTGCAACGGCCTTCGCGGCCGTTCTTGTCGCATAAATCAAGCTGCAGTCGCAGTTGCAGTTGCAATTGCAGCTGCAAGTCACCGGCGCGGGAGCAAAAACAAAACAAAAGACCGGCTAAAAAATAAAAAATAAAAATCAAGCAATCGAATTGAATCGGAATTGCGGGTGTTGGTCGTTTCCCAGCCTGCCACAACGGGTTTTCCGCTCAGGCGACCTTAGAAAATATGCAACAGGCAACGGCGACAGCAATTTATTGCCCAGCCATCAATGGAAGTCAATGAGCTGCCACTCCCCCAAAATTCCCCCCTTGGTTTTCCTAAGGTCGTGTGTGTGGGTGTAGTCAGAAAAAAAACAGGGGGCTATAACTAAAGGGGGTTTTCAGCTCCAACTCCAGGCAACTGCAACTGCAACTGCACCTGCTGTTGTTGCCGCTGCAGCTGCAACATGCAAATTTGTGATTAAGGTCAGCCGGCAGCATCATCAGTCGCTCAACTCCACAAGTCTGGGGTTAAGACTCGCGAATGTTTGTCTACCTCCGATCGTGGGTGTCTCGTATAATAGTGAATTGCTGGGGGGAGAAGCCAGGGGGCAATCGTTTGTCAGCCACAACTGACGGCTCCAAACAAATAGGAAGTGTACTTTCAAGCTTGATTATACTGGGTAAATGAATACAGACGAAAAGGTTGGGGGCAGTTAGCTAGCGAGGTTTTACTTTAATGAAATTAATATAATTATTAAAAATGGTAGATCCTTAATCTTTAACTCTGTTATAAAATAAGGGAAGGAATTCCCATAATTTTAGTGTCAGTTTTCCTTTACAAATTCGCCTTAGTTACTTTGCATTTTTTTATAATATAATAATTAAATATGATACATCCTTAATCTTTAATCTTAATCCTTACCATCTTTAAGAGTAGCATTTTCCGTCATTTTATTTTCAGTTTTCCTCCACTAATTCGACTTAGTTAATTTGAAATTTTTTATAATATAAAAATTAAACATGGTAAATACTTGATCTTTAACTCCGGTATAAAAATACCTTACCATCTTTAAGGGTAGCACTTTCCTTCATTTTATTGTCAGTTTTCCTTCACTAATACATCTTAGTTATTTTGTTTGTCCAAGTTGTGAATAGCCAAAATTATTTCTATCCCAAATCTTTGATGACGGACAGGTGAGAAAGTGCATGTATTTATTGGGAGCCCTTAAAAATAATTTTCTAATTGCAGCACTTACGATCCATATGCGAATCGCATAGTGGACAAGCCAATATCGTAAGCCTCCATTTAAAATTTTTGGGCTTCCATTTATTAAGTAATTTTCAGGAACTTTGGAGCCTTCATTTCCGTAATCAAATGTGTCGTGGGAACTGGTGTCCTGGCACTGCCCCTGGCTTTTAGCTATGCTGGAACTATCCTTGGCATTATTCTTCTCATCGCCATTGCATTTATCCTCATCCATGGCATAAATGTGCTGGTAATAACTGATAATCCCTTGCGTAGACCTCTAATCGACAATCGGTTGTAGATCATTTGCATGGTAGAGGCTTCGCGTCGTGAGAAGGTCGGCTACACCAACTTCCCGGATTCGATGGCCTACTGCTTTTCGCAGGGCCCCAAGTGTTTTAGGTATATTGCAAAGGCTGCCGGTTACGTGGCTGACATTGTGCTGTGCATTGCCCATTACGGCATCTGTGTGGTCTACATAGTATTTGTCGCCAGCAATGTGAGGAATGCGTTGGATCGCTACTTCCACATAGGAGACATACGGTATTACATTGCCATAATAGGAATACTGAGCATACCCACTTTCTGCATCATCCATCTGAAGTATCTCGTACCGCTCAACTTTATTGCCAATCTCCTGATCTACGTTGGATTCGGCATGATCTTCTACTACATCTTCCAGAATCTGCCGCCGTTCACCGACCGATCATTCGTCGGCGATCCGTTGAAGCTTCCCCAATTCTTCGGGATCGCCCTCTTCTCCATTTCTTCGGTGGGAGTGGTAGGTTTCTATAATGAATATTTACTATGCCCTAGCCGACTTAGATGGTTGTTCTACCCCAAAGTTTCTGGCTATCGAGGCCAAAATGGCAAAGCCCCAAAGGTTCATCGGATGGTTTGGTGTACTCGTTATAGCGTCCATAGTAATTCTTATCTCGTACATTACTTTTGGCATATTTGGTTACTGGCGTTACGGAGAAGAAGTAAAAGGTTCATTAACACTCAACCTGCCGGATGAACCGTAAGTTTAATGTTGGAAAGTGAAATGCTAAAAATTAAATTAAATTAAATTAAATTATATGCAAAATATTATATTGAAAATCTAGAAGAATAATAGATATTAGTTTTCAACACTATTATTAATTAATTTGTTGGGTAAAAGTGATTTTACTTTTCTGCCTCTTTATCCGTCATTCAATATTCACTTCTATACCGACTATTGTATTATTACTATTTTATTTTCATAAAAATAACCTTTGAATCTTAGGGTGAGCATGGCAATCAAAATAATACTCGCCATTGACGTCTTCTTGTCGTTCCCGCTGTCCGGATATGTAGTGATCAACATCATCATGACCCATTTCTGGAACAAAAGTGGGGATCTGAAACGGGCCGTGCTGAAGGAGATCATTCTTCGGATTGGCTTTGTATTGTTTGCCACCATCAATGGAGTCGCCTTCCCAAATTTGGGTCCTCTGCTGTCCTTGGTTGGGGCCTTTTCCCTATCGCTGCTGAATCTGGTCTTTCCGGCCTTCATGGAGATTTGTTTGTACTATCCGGCGGAGTTCACCTATGGCAGGTGTAAGTGGAAACTCGTCAAGGACATCCTGATGATTTCTCTTGGGCTCCTCATTCTAATCCAAGGCACCGTCTTTTCTATTATCGACATGGCAGTGGCTTATTGACATGTTTAAAAAAAATGCAGCAATGTAACAGGGCACCTCAAACGAAAATAAAATATCACTTACAACCATGTGACCAACACAAACCAACTGTAAAAATGATTAAAAAAATGTTCGATTTCTAATACAAAATATAATAAAGTAATTTCATGTATATATATTTTTATTTGTATCTATAAAAACTAAATTATCCTTAAGCAGTACCTATGATCCAAAGCTATCTTCAACATGACTTCAAATCTTCAGAAATTTATATAAAACATCGCAGCAATTTGATAGAATTTCGATTACCTTTCGGAAACTCCGATCTGCCTCTCTATAGGAAATACGCAAACTCTTAGCAATTTTGTGGCTGTGGAACCCTAAAAACCCCCACGATTGTAAACGATTTTGTGGTCGTTAACGACAAATGACATTCGGAAGACTATGAATTTTATGGGCAGAACCGCGCAGCTTGTGTGGATTGAAGTGGATTCGAGTCTATGGAGTAAAGAACGGTGGTGCAGTGGTGAGCGGGTTATGCGGGTGCTGCGATCAAGGAAACCAAGAAGAAACCCCCCGAAAGACCCCATCTAGCCGGTTTCACCTGCCAGTCGCACACCACCTTCTTGCCACCACCACCTTCTTCCCCTTTCCCCTTCCCCCTGCGAAACTGCAACGTGGTGTAATTAATGCAGCAGCAGCTGCGCTTTGCCTTCTGCACCACCGCCCCTTAACCCTCCGCTGCCCCTGACCGACAGCCGCTTATCTCTGGCTGGCATATCGAACAAGAAAAGAAATCTTTTATAGTCTTTTGCGGTTTGTCTTTGAGTCATTTTGGCATGCATTTGGCATCGATTTAGAAACGCTCGCCTGCCCCGCGATCCGAGTGCGTGAGTGTGGGAAACGTGGCCCCAGTGCCCCACCGAGTTCACCATCGTGTGCACCAATGCACCGCCAATGCCCCACCGGGGTCCCAATGCACCACACAGCAAACAAAGGATTTTACTTCATTATAAAAAATTTACGGTAATATTTAATATACAATTTAATAAATACTATACAATATTTTATTAAATCACTTTGAAAAATGTATTTTCCAAAAATATATTTATTTTAATAAATTACATACAAAATTAATCTTTAGTCTACGGAGAAAAGTAAAAGTAAGTCATTTTAATATTGCATGTAAATATTTTTAAATATTTCTTAGGCAGCCAGAAAAAGAGTTAAATACATAGCAATATTTAACAATATATTTTCTCAATTAGATTAACACTTTTTTAAAATATTTAAAATTTTTCAGAGTGTAGGCGGGTGAAATGAGCGATTCCAATCGCGTTTCTTGGCTCTTTTGGCGCTGCCAAACGGAGCGCGGCACCGCCGCAGACCGATTGGAATCGGCAGTCAAAAGCAAATGTAACCACAGCAGCAGGAAAAGCATCAGCAGGGCAATTGCAGCACCACCGCCTCCTACAAGTTTTCAATTTCTCGTCTGGCGCTTTGACAAGCGAATTTTTGCGTTATTTAATTTCTGCCGCCGCCGCAGCCGCCAAACAGATGAAACACGAGCGATAAGCGCATCCCAAAAATTGCATTTCATTTGCACTTGCAGTCGAAAGAGAGTCGAGCAAAAACGTCAAATTGATGTGGGCCCCAAATCCGCCCAGAAGACATATCATCTAGAAGGAGGGTATCCACGCAAATGCCGGGTCAAGAATGCCATGTTCCCTGAACTGCTCAGCTCAACTCGGTTCTATTCCGTTCCGGCCTTTGTCATCAGCATCAAACATGATGCGGGTCATAAAACGGTTGGGAAATGTTTATCACATAGTAAGATACTCTTTAATTATATACGATAATCATATCAAACTTCTGAATGAAATTACAACAATCTCCTCAAAGGTATTAAAACTAAAAATAAAAATATGATAAGGCATAATAATAAAATAAAAATAAAACTGACTGTTTTAATAAATAAGTAATGTAGGGAGAATAAATTTCTTAATTAAGTTTTAAGTATATTTAACTACGCAAATAGATTTATTTCTTTATCTGACTACCTACTTACAATTTACCAGTAAACTTAAATACTAAATAAAAACTATAAAAAAATGTAATTTTTGTAATTGAATGTAAGAATTTAAGCAATTATCATTTATCAATATGCTACAGTGACTAGTGGTCCTATAAATCCCGAATAAACCTCCTCACTTAGCGGAGATACCCTTTTCTGCAGCGTAGCAAAAGCCAAGAGTCCTTGTCCAAAAAAGAGCTTCCAATTTGTGCGGCTTGTCGTAAAGTGTTTGTGTTGTTTCTGTTTCGCATTTTTTTCGCCACTTGCCTCGGCTCCTGGCAGAGCAGCCATTCATTTGGTTTTTATGAGCCGAGGCGGCGAGCGACGATGAATGTGCCAGGAGCACCAAGTCGTCCTGTTTCCGAGTTGATTAGAAGCCAGGTGCCTTTCGAAGCAGCAGCCTGCTTAGCCATGTCTTGCTGTGGCTTGTCCTGGCACTCCTGGTACTAGTCCTATTTCGGTTTGTAGGAATGGGCAGCCTGCACCCCTTCCTGTTGATTTACGCCTTGGCTTATTGCTTTTTGGCCTGGCACCCACAGCCAAAAAAAACGAAAAGTGAGACAAGACCCCGGAGAATGGGTAGACTAATGGTTTTGCATTTTTTAGAATTGTCCAAATGTTTGGAACTATGTTAATTGTGCGATAAATCTGACATTAGATACCCCCAGCGATCACTAAATCAGCAATTCAGTATGGTACATCGATCTAAATGCCAATGCACTGAGAAAAGGAAAGGTTTATAATTTTAAAGATATTTTACACATATTTTTGAAGCAAAATTAATATTATCTATAGGCCTGGAAATGTATTAAATAAATAAATAAAATATAACTACTCGTTTATCTCTTTTTAAAATCATTGAAAAATGCAAATTGTTCTATTTAATTTAAAAAATAAAAACCACCAACAAAAAACACAATATTTTAAAACACAATTTCCCACGATGACTTTAAAATTGGAATTTCAGAATAACTTAAAGTTTCTTTATTAATTCCGTGTTACCTCCCCTTTCTCCGCCTGAAAAGCTCTGTAAATAATGAGAAGGCTGGGCCTCCGAATTCACCTTGGATGCTGCCGCTCCTTCTTTCTCCTCCACGAGTGAGTGATGAGAGATCGCAATCGGGAGCTGCTGATTGCAGATGGTCCGATCGTCCGATCGTCGGATCGTGTGTGTACACAACTTATATATAGCGTATATATCAGTATCAAACTGTGTCGGTCAGGCTGCTCGAATTGCGTTGGCACCTGCAGCCAGCAGTCAAGAGTCTCCAACTGGGATGCCGACTTTATTTTACAACTCAATAAAGCGAGTGAAAGGGGAGAAGCAGTCCGAAATTGGAGCAGTCTAATGGGAGGAAATAACCGAAATGGCTGACCGTTTCAGATACTCACCTCATTCCCGAGCAAGGGAATTCGCCAGCTGCTGATTTTTTTCCGATAATTGATGACCTGCGAAAGGGGAGAAAACCTCATCTCAGAGTGCCCAACGAAAGCGAGGATGAAGTGATGGAATGAGCGCAGCCTTGACAGCCTCGCACCTGAGGTTACGCACTGATTGCGCATACGCAGCGTGTAACACGCCGATTTTCCCACACTGCCAAGAGTGCACTTGAAAAAAAGACGAAATATTTATCGCAAGCTCAAAGAAAAATTTGTAAGTTAATAGCCTTAGGCAAGTAAGAAATATTTATTATTATAATGAAATATAGGTACTTAGAAATTTAATTTCTAAATTATTCATGTCAGCACTTTTAAAATTAATTAAAAGAAAGAAAAGAAAGAAAGAAAATGAAAAGCTTTAAGACTTAAATGAAGTATACCAATAAAATGTGTATAAATTAACATTTTTAATTTGTCATTTTATAAGGAAACATTTGAACTTACTCGTTTTTCTTAATTAGTTGCTGTGCATTAAAAATATTAAATGGGAGGAGCTCAACACAAGAGTTGGGTTACAGGCAGGTGATAAAAACTTGTAATTAACTTGTATTTATGGGTGGGCTATAAACATTTATCTGATTTATTTATCATTCGTTTTTGCCTTTAAGGATTTTATTATTTTTTAAACTAAGAGTTTAAGCATAAATCAATTATTACTAAGTTAAACCTTTTTAAATTATTTTACTCAATTTTAAATTTTAAGTTTAATCATTAATCGGCGCCATTACAGGAGAAATTTATCTTCTCACAAATTTGAAAAATCATCTCACATTTCTCACAGTGTTAAGCGGTTTTTAATAATTGACAATTAAAGTAGCAATAATTGACAATAAATATTAAAGGCTGTGCCGGAGCGCCATGGGCCACGTATGCAGCTACCGCTCTGCTCGGCAATTAATGGCGCGTTTTAGCCATATAAAGCCAGGTCTGAGCCTAAGTTCCAGCCCCTGTTTCAGCCCCAATCTCGACGTCAAACGGCAAACGTCAAACGGAGGCCGACGACGATGATGATAATGATGACGATGCCTGCTGCCCGATGACGACAGTGTGAGAGCTTTTGCCAGTCCGATCGACCGGGGTTAATATAACTCAATTAGCTGGGAGTTGAGGCCGATAAATCAATCAGGCCGATAACCAGAGTGGGTCATCAGGGGAAAGGAGGGGGAATATCTGAGCAGATTCCCTGCGGTTTGGCACCTGGCTGCGACTCGTCCGCTGATGATTTGCGTGCCGCGCTGCCATTTCTCAGGATCCCATTTAACATCCGGTCCTGCCAAAACTCCCACTCCCAACGAGACCAACTTAATTGAAACATTTTTGCGTAAGCGGTTAGACAACTTGAAAGGGGGGCCAGAGGCGTGGGCAAGGGGGCGAGGGGGGATGCCATCGGAGAGGGGACATGGCACCTCGCCCACGCACCATTTTGTAGAGGAGACTCCGACTCCTGTCCTGCAACTCTGCCACGGCTTGTCACAAATTGAAAGCTACAAGCGGCAAGTACACGATT